CCCACAGCCTGCCGACTGAGGCCCAGTCTCAACAAGGGCCATCAACAACTGCCCAGCTGGTCCTCCAGCCTCGTCTCCCACCAAGCACCTAGCCCCACCTCATTCTAGACACAATCTCAGCCAGGGTTGCACTGCCTCCAAGGAGCCCTTTAAACTTCCTTTCTGCAGGCAGGCCTCTCTTTGTCCTGCTGCAGGGCATGGGCTGACCTGTCAGTCTCTGGCAGGCTGGCTGCTCCTGCAGGCAGGCTGCAATGATTCAGTTCTAGCCTAGAAGCAAACCCAGAGGGGGCCAATGACCGTCACTAACCGCAGTCCCTTCTCCTGCTGAGGTTCCCTTTCCACATCTATAAATGACAAGTCTGGACTAGATGCAGTATGGCACACAAACAGGATATGTCCTACCCGCGACATGTTCGTGTTCCTGGTAGACGTCACCGATCAGAACGATTCTGAGCCCGCCCGGCTTCAGCAGTGTTCCATGCAGCACTGCTAATCAGAGCTGGCCCCCGAATGGAAACTGGTTTGCTACTTTGGAGAGAAGACAGCTATGGTTTCTCTCTTCCTCCTTCTGTCTTGTCCTCTGTCCTCTCTCCTTCCCTTCTGCAGAACAGCCAGACACGGATCTGCACTTGGACTTGTGTGCAAGAACACTAGACCAGGAACCAGGAAACCTAGGTGTAAGGCTGCGATTACAGCCCTTGGCTGACTCTGGGCAGGTCACTTGCCTTCCTGAGTCTCACTTGCCCAATCTGCCATGCCTCCTCTGCAGAAACACTGATCAAAATGAAAGCAAGCTGCATGTTTAAAAACACAACTGAAAACAATTATTGGAATTTAAAAACAAAGAACAAAAACAGTCTGTACCCTGTACCCAATGCTCTGTTCTCCATGACCCCTGACCTCCTGTAAGTCCCCAGTTCTAGACCTAGAAATCCTTACTAGACAGTCCCCCCCTTGGAACCCAAGGAACTATGGGACCCGCCCAGACCAAGTAGGCCTGGCCACAGCCAAACGGGTGTGCCAGATGTGCAGCCCAACCAAGTTAAGCTGCGTGAAAAAAATGCCACTACTTGATTATGTAAAAACCCATCTGGCTCCAAAACAGAAAATCAAAGTTGGAAGGGCCCTCAGACACCATCTGGTCCAGACTGCGCCATCGACTGGTTAGAAAACTGGGGCCCAGAGATGGGAAACTACTTGTCCAAGGTCACCCAGCCGGTGTGTGGCCAAGGTCTCTGTGCCACGCCAGAGCACCAGGACAGCACTCCTGGACTTCCAAGCTGGCTTCCTGTTAGACCCTCCCTGGTCGGAATGCCGGATCTAGTGCTCTGGGGCTGGCTGGGCTCCTTTCCTGTAATGTGAGCAACACAAATAAACAGTTCCAATATCTAGTGAGGCCATGTACACGCCAGGTACTGGGAAGCCAAGGTTAGGGCACACTTCTGTCTTTCTTGTATCTTGATGGGGAGGGGAGCAGGGGGCGTGTGCATGGGGGAGGGTGGTGCAAAAGAGAGGAGGGGTTTTTTTGACACGGTCTCGCCACCACAACCCTCCTGCCTCAGTCTCCCAGTCAGCCAGGACTGTAGGCACGCATACCACACCTGGCCTGTTCAGGTGGCTCCAAGATGTGAACGAGCCTCCTACGTGGCCCCAGCCTTGCACAGTGGCGCCCTACCATTCGTACCACTGCAGCTGGGCCATTTGCTTTTTAACTTTTGTTGTTGTTAATTAAAACAAGGAGCACAGAAATCAAGTGCCCTTTTTCAATTCTATGAAGACCGCGAGAACCCCCACACCATTCCCCAGCAGTGAGTGGAGGTCAGGTCAGCTCCCAGTCACCCCCCTGCTGACCCTTCGCTGTTGCCAGACATGTCTCATGGTACAGGACCAAACGGGCACTGCTGACCTTGGAAACCTGGACACCAAAGAACAGAAAGCACACGCAGACCTAACTCTTCAGACCCCAGAAGGGTCCTCAGGCCTGGCAGTTAGAGGCTTGAAGGAGGAAGCCCCGTATGTAGGTTTTTAAGAGGCTGGGACAGAGGTGGTAGCTACTGCTCCCTCCTGCCCTCCCTCGAGGCCTCTCTGGTTTCCAAATCTAGAACCTGGGGAGGGTGAAGGCTAGCCACTGAGGAGCAGGGTCTGGCCCAAGCTGGATCAGCACCGCAGGCCGGCTCCTCGGTGCAAAGCCTTTCTGCAGCAGAGCTGCCTGGTCAGGCTACCACCAAGTAGGGGGAAGAGTGCAATTG